GGCAGTTGTTTGAGCGTTGTTGTACTCACAATATCACTGTATACTTGCAGGACAAGATCTCTTGTAGCCTCGTTTGTGTTGTGTATATCTTATATTTATCTTGATGTTTTGACAGAGCGTGCTTACCAACAGCAGGCTTCATACGAATGGCAAAATATCGATACAGCTGACCTTCGGCGTGCCGACATCTGCAAGCGTGGCTGTCGCGTGCCGGTTCAAAGAGGAGAGGGTAACATAGTCGAAGTCGACCAAACGGATATCGGTCACTCCTCTGCGTACTACTCAGTATTCGAGCAGACCGAAAGCGAGACATCAGCTTACTTACGACCGCACAAGCATGACCGCCGCCCAGCTGCCTACGCCTCCGCATCCGACCACGACGACTTTGCCTCGCCGAATTTTCGTCATGCCCTCCTCACCGAAGAATGCATAGTTCCGAGCGAGCTGCTCGCGGATGAGCTCTTCGCTGTATAGCTCGAGACCCGGAGTCAAGACTCGCTATTATTAGGCGCTTCTCGCGGCGCCTGAGCGCGACTGACGCGTCTCGTAGACGAGAGCTACATCCCCATTCACACTACCACCGTCTCTCCCATCTCCCTAGTCCAATCCAGCCAGGCTCAACTACTATGTCAGACAAGGCATCCTCATCTAAGACGGAGGCGGCCCCGCCTACTAAGATCATCGAGCCTCACAAGGACGATGACCACCCTGCAGCACTTGGCGTACTCGAGGAGGATGACGAGTTCGAGGAGTTCCCGGTGGCAGGTGTGTCCCTTACGTTATGCGGGGCATTTGTACATTGCTAATGGCACGTAGACTGGGACGACTCGCAGACAGACCTCGCACACCTCGGCGGCGCTGCTCCCGGAGCGGCCAAGTCTGGCGGTGACAAGCTCTGGGAAGATAACTGGGATGATGACGACGTCGAGGACGATTTCAGTGTGCAACTAAGGTGCGTCGCTTCTTAAAATGCTTATACGCTGGCATATCGAAGCCTCCGCCCATAGGAACGAGCTCGCGAAGAAGAATGGCACCGATGCGATGCAACACTAGGGCGGCTGCTCCGTCCACAAGTCATATCCATCTCACCTACTTTTCTACTGTCGCCTGCTGTATCAGATGCATCACTGAAATACTCCGGACCCGCACTCTGAATGCGACACGTGAAGCATGTGAAGCCTGAAGCTCCTCGTGTAGCTGTGAAGATCTCGTCCACGTTCGTCGACCGCTGGCTGTCAATTACCTTGCACGTTCTGAGATCTTGAATTGTTGTAAAACATATGCGCCACTTGTTTGCGCCATCATCGGCGGTTCCTGAGAGCCGTGGTCTAATCTTCCAGAGCACATGACCAATCAGCTACGCCATACCTGAGAGACAAATTTTCTTTCGCACGAGGGCATGTCCAGGCACGCAAAAACTTGAAGCGAAAGATACAGATGCATTGTACGCTCTAAGCGACAACAGTGGTGATACATGACGGCCGTTCATTCGTTACGCTCGTGAAATGCGGTGAAAGCCCAAACAGCCCGATGATAAGACATAAATTACAGAGAGATCAACGAAGCCCGACCGGTCCTTCCGTAAATCTGCATACAAGAAGATCTAGGCAGCGACCTTGACGTCGGAGAGGCTCGCATCCTTCTCGAGACCAGCATCTCGCTCGAAGCCGTCGTCCGCGATGGTCGACGCTTGGCTGCCGAGGCCGAGCTGCGTGATGTCGTAACCGTTCTCCACGAGGTATTCGCGGAACTTCTCGTCTTCCTCAGCCATGCCGTCGTGAGACAGTGGGCGGATGAGGAAGAAGGTGATGATCGCGCTGAGGATCGCGAGGCCGCTGCCGATCCAGAAGGGGCCCGTGTTGCCGCGGTCGGTTTTGGAGCCACCGAAGTCGTCGATGATGGCAGGGAAAGCTGAAAGGAATGCGCGTCAGAGAGCACCATGGTTCGGAAACGTCGCAGGACTTACCCCAGGTACCAACGAACGCGCCGACCTTGCCGATAGCGGCGGCGAGACCGTAGAACTTGCCGCGGGCAGCAGTGGGACCAGTCTTCGCAGCAAGAAGACCCAGGCAGTTACCGGGGCCGAGCTCACCAAAGGACAGGAAAATGCCGTAGACGACTGCGAAGGCCGCGACGTGGTTCGTAAGCTGGCGGTAGAGACCGGACATGATGAAGCCGATGACGGCCTGGCACAGGAGACCGGTGATCATGGTGTATTTGGGGCCAAGATAATCCACGACGAACGCGCCAATGATCGTGCCGGGCATGTAGAACAAGCTACGCAACGGTTAGCAAAGGGAGTAAAGCGCAAGGTGCGGAGGAACTCACTTGATGACAACCGACCAGCCGAAGACAACGGTGAGACTGTCGCTACCACCAGTGATGTTGTTGGTGATCGTCGAGGAGTAGATTCCGAACGGATAGGTGATGAAGTCGTAGATGAACCAGGTGAGGGAAACACCGAGCCACTCCTTCCAGTAGCGGCGAAGGATGAGCCAGTACGGGGTCGGAGCATGGGACATGGCGTTTCTCTTGTAGTGACTTGGTTCGTCTATATTCAGCCGCCAAATGAAGACAGCGACGGCAGGAATGACACCGAGTCCCAGCGACAAACGCCAGACGGCCCGGAGGTGGTCGTTACCGAAACTACAGGTCATTTAGCAATAGTAGAAGGACGCCGTAAGCGCAAGGCACTTACATCCAGAACAGCACGAGCGGGACAAAGGAAGAGACGACAAAGCCGAAGTCGATCACGCTATTGGTCGCAAGTGCGAACCACCTGTGCTGAGCGTTCGTGGCAACTCCGGACTCTTCAGACTGCTCGGAAGCAGCGACGGATCCACACGGGTACTCAGCACCAACGCCGATGCCGAGTAGGAATCTGGGTAAGGATGTTGAGAAGCATAAGGGGTCTAGCGGAGCAAAGCACATACCGCATGGCACTAAGCATAGCAATGAGCCCGTGAAGACTGTTGTGGGCACCAGCAGAGGCAGCAGAAAGACCGGAGAAGAGCGCAACGATACCGGCGGCCCACATCTAACCGTGATTGAGCAATCATCTCGCGTGACGAGACGGAAGCACACACCATCCCAGATTTGCGTCCAAACCTGTCTGCCAGGTACCCGAAAGACAGCATGCCGGCGACCTGACCCGCGAAAGTAACTGAGGTCAAGGTCGTGCTGTAGGATGTCGGCATAGCACTGCCATAGATGCGCTTAAGGACTGTGAAGCGAATAAGGACCGTGGTCACAAGACCAGTGTTGAGAGAATACTCACGTGTGTTCACAAGTCCAATAACACCGTTGGCGTATCCTAGCAGCCAGTGCGGTCAGCAAGCGCATAACAGATCTCGATGCCGCAAAGCGTACCATCTGAGAAGAGGGCTGTGCCACATCTGGGAGCGACGACATGAGCATCAAAGTGTGGGGAAGGGCGTGGCGGTGCGAACGTACGCGAAGATGAGGGAGACCTGGCGGAGGGTATTCCGTTTGACCAACATTTTCGAGGACAAGTATCCACGGGACGCTGGAGAGCGGGAGGCGGAGGACTGTGGGCAGATACGGCCTGGTACTTATCCTCATAAGCACCCTCGTCCATTGATTGATGACCGCCACGAGGGCAATTTTTTCCGCCTGGCGCCTTTCCAGACTGGGACGCACGTGCGTCACATTTGATGCAGTCAGATTCGATCGAGGAGCACTCCCCCCGCGCACCCCCCC